AAGACCAGGTGGCCGGTGCGCATGTACATGCCAGAAACCGTAAGAGCAACTGCTCAGTGTGTGCATGTGCACCGGGTGGCTGCTCACCCAGTTTCCGGCACACACACATATGCTCCCGTTTCGGCACTCAGTGCCAAAAAGGTTTGCCAACACTAGACTAAAGTGTATGGCAGGAATGGACAATCTAATATCCTCCAAATATTTTTAGAATTAACAAGAAAATAAAATCTGTCAATGCAAGCAAGATCCAATCAAGACCCAACTACTCCTACTTGATTCCAGGTTTAATGAACAAGTCGCCTAGTCCAACATCATCTAAATAAAAGCTAAGTTCTTGTCTCAAGTGGAAGGGTTGACAACAGATATGAGATATGAATACAGGATCAGAAAAAGCATCATACGCAAATAGAAACTGGTTGTCTTGGGGACTCAGAAGCTGAAAATGACCCAATCAATCATATGATACAGCTGCAAAAAAATAATACATGAAATCCTGTTGCATCCACAGAAAAACAGCATCACTATCAGGAGATAGTGGTCATTCCATACCTAGAATATTGCATTCAGGTTTAGACATTGTATTTTAGAAAGGACATTAACAGACTGAAGTGTACCCAGAGGAAAGCAACCAAAGTGGAAGAATGGTTGGAGGTATCAAGTGTATTTAATCTGGAGAAGATTTCAGGGAGACATGATAGTTGCCTTCAGGCATCTGAAATGTGTCACATATAAGGAAGTATCATTCAAAACAGTTGAAAACAGGACAAGAAATCAAAAGATTAATAGATTACAAACTAAATTTTAGCTGTAAATTTTTTTAAAAAAATCTAAAAGTAGGAACCGTTCAATAATGGAACAGACTATGAATTCTCCTTCCCTCATATGATTTAACCAAAGCAGAGAGGTAGGAGGAAGTAATTGCCAAGAAAATGGTGTCATTGTCTATGGAGATTCTCAGTTATCCAGGTCATGGTTGTCCCAAAGATGCTCTTTTAAAAGGCAACTGGACTTTCTGGTTTTCCTTGAAGACGTTTCGCTTCTCATCCAAGAAGCTTCTTCAGTTCTGATTGAAGAACTTTGTTACCTGTTTATAGGCATTGTTTCAATTCTGGATTAAGGTTGAAGTCTCTACTGAAGGTTTCCCAGGATAAGACAATTTTGAGGAGGACCTGAAGGCTTATGTTAACATTTAACTAAAGAACGGAATTTGGCAATGAATGATAAAACTTATCTTGGGAAATGTTAAACCATGGCCCTAGAACCTAAATATATTTGTTGATTTCATGCTTTCAGCAAACTGCACCTTAACCCTAGTTTAAAAGGGGAAAATCCAGTCAATATTGCAACAACTGGAGCAAAATTAAAAGCTGGCAATAGGCACTATAGAAAATATGTTTTCTTTTCCTTCATCTGCATTGCTACTGCCACCAGTTTTTCTTCTCCTCTTCCTCCTTCTTCTCATGCCTATATCACAGGCCTTCTCTGTCAGCTGTCAGGTTCAGCTAAGGTATATCTATAGTAGATACTACAACTGGCAGCAAGCAAGACCCTACAAGGTAAATTCAAATAGGTATTTCTGATCCTCAAAGTAGACCTGAAAAATAATTTGTGCACATGTATTTGTCATCTTTGCAAATTAGTTCTGAATATTATCAGTCATAGAAAGCTGCAAAAAGATGTTGGCTGAGTTTGGGTCAATGACTACAGATGGCCCAGCGAAAATATTCTACTCAACCACGAACGTAACTTCACAGGATTGTAATGAGGACAAAAAGGTTACTAAGAAGGAAGGCATCACTGCGCAATTCAAAAATCAAAATGTGGGTCAGCCTTATGTTGGAGATTTCACAAGGAGTCGTCCACATACTTTCATATCTTTGTTACCCCCAAAAATCTGGAAAGATAAGAATAAGATAAGAAGAATCAACCTTCTTGAGCAAATTTATCAATCATTCAATGCTCTGCAAAGAATTGCCAAAACTCACAAACTCCACATCTAGCACTTTTCAAATGAAAATCAAAGCTCCACTTTCCAAAATATGTCTCTGTTCCTTCCATCACAGATCTTCAATGTTCGGTTTCTGACTTTTGAAGGAACACAATGAAGGAGCAACACACAGATTTTAAGGGGACCACCACAAACTTCTCTAGGAAAAAACTTACAATTGATAAGGAACACTAGGCTGATATCACACCAAGCTACAGATTTGGGGGGGGAGAGGCTTTCACTTAGCACAGGGGTGTCAAACTGCCGGCCATGGGCCGGATGGTCACATGCAGGCCACACTCACCCCAGCTCCATGAATGAGAAAAAAACATCATGAAACGTCATGTGACAGAAACGTGATGCAGCAAGTTTGACACCCAACGCTTAGCTACTTATTTAAAGCCAGCCTAATATGATTTAGTCAACAAACTATGGCCAAGCAAATCATGGTTCAGCACAATGTACAGAACTAATCAATGTAAGGTAATTCCAGCATGTAGGCTCATACAGTAAAAAACAGGTTATAAAATGAGAGAGAGATCTGGAGGGAAGAGAGCAAAAACAAGCAATAATTATTAAGCATAAATATCTCATATCATTAATAGTAGAATACAGATCTCTTTAAAATGAGGTTTTCCCAGGCAGACCAAGAGATCTTCTATCTCACTTGGATTAAATTGAAAAAAATGTTCAGGGTCACACAAAAAATGAGGAAGAGACAGATAAGAACGTGTGCATTATGACACTGTGACCCAACTCTACTCCTTCATACTTGCACACAATATTACAATGCAGATACAAAAGAACAGAGATTCACTGTGATGTCATAGCACATGTTTTGACACTTTGGTGACATCATAGTTTGCAACAAACACTTAGGTACACATAACAATTTCAGACAGGGAAAAAGATAGGAGGATTCAATCTCTCCTAGATATACTGTTCCAATATCAAAGCCCTTGTACCATTAGCAGATGTTTTAAGGTGTTAAAAAATTATCAGAATCTATTTTAATTCCTGCCCTGCATTTTGAACAAAAGAAAACAAAATACCTGGCAAGGGGACAGCCCACACTTTGTCCCTCTATGCCCATTTGTGTAGATCTGCTCATATTCAAAAGTATATCCAACTTCCTCCCTCGCTAATAGAAATTCTGCCTTTTGGAGATTTTTCTCTTCCAAACCAGTTTCTGTATTCTTAGTTTCACAGCCCAAAGCCTAGAATGATCCTAATTACTATCCAAAAATTGTCCCAAATTCAATCACGAATCTTTATAACATGCTAACTGGGTGAGAAAAAGGTGTCACTATCAAAACAATTTTCTCTGTAGTACTTTCACCCTAAATGCACATACTTTCTGCTGGTTTAGAAATATTAATTGGGAAAAGGTACAATGCATTCACTCTGCCCACTTCAACTGAAAATATAAATTGATTGTATCATAAAATGCTTATCTGTGAAAGACAAACATCCATAATAAGAGGGATTTTAAAAACTCAATGCCGAATTATTTCGAACACACTCTTGGAAGCATGGACCAAAATATCTTGCAAAAGCTTTCCCTCTCTATGCTTAAAACTTGCTACTCTTTAGGCCTATAGTATTATTTATGGGTATAGGGAATTTACAGATAGCCTCGACTTAAGACCATAAATCTTAAGCCTNCTGTTAGGTTTATATCTAATTTAGTCAACCACAGGCCAAATTAAAAAAAGAAGGGAAGAGCAGATGACACGTGGTTTTTAAGAGCTCCTGTCCATAAAAAGGTTCCCCATCCTTGCTATGCATAATGATTTTTAAAAAAATTTTAATAGTGGAAATTAATATCCTCTTTTTAAAGAGGATATTCATCCACATCTCAGAGAAACTGTGTACTTTTAAAGGAGGGTAAGATATATACACCATAAGCTATAATATTTAAGGTCTTTTTCTGTCTGCTTACACAACTATGGAAAATAGAATGAAGTCCATTTCTGGATAAAATGGGTTTACTTTTCATTGTTCTACTCTCCTGTCATTAGCTGTGGCTTCCCAACCCACGGAGAAGCAGATAAATATTCCCTCATTCTATATTATAGCACTCTCCATAGATACCAGTACAGATACCACAACCTTCCTTAATTGGGCATGTTGTTAAAATATCCATGATTGGGAGAGACATGGGAACAAGGTCAGCCAATGAATAGGCATAGCAACTAAGTCAGCCAATGGGACCTTAAACAGATCGGAGTCTGTGCAGAGAATTGAAACAGAAACTTAACCAGTCTGCTGCTCTGAGAAGTAAACAAGCAGTCTGTCTGGGCTTGTTTGCTGAAATGAAACTCTCCTGCCTTGTGTTTACTTGGAAGAACCATCTGTTGGTATTTATTCATCTATCCTTATGTATATAAAGACGTTAATGAATCCAGCTGAATCAGTTATCTGTGTGTGCTTTCTGGATTTGATTTTTCTGCAACAAACTCTTGACACATTTTCTAGATGTATTGAGACTGCAGCTTCCAACATCTCCAGTTGCAAATTCTGGGAATGTCAGTCCTTACGCAATGACAAACGGTTGGGTTAGGAAAAACTGCCATGATTTCCAAAACAATTCTAAAAGCAATTGATTCCAATCCAACCAGGTATTTTCCTGCTGCAGGCAATTTTATAAAAGAACAAAAGAAAGAGCCACTGGCATATTTTTTTTCCAGAGCATAGGATCAAGAGTTTGTTTGCGCAATTAAAAAAAAGGAGAGATACACAAGCAGGATAAAATTAAAAGCAAGAAAGGACATTCAGAGACAGAATAGCAAGGTGAGTATTTGATGCCTGGGGAAGCAGGTAGAGGTTATATCCTATAAGGACACCCATTTAACATCAGGAATGCCAGAATCCAGAAAGAAAAAGGAAGTAGATAAAGTAGCTCCCAAGCCCACTAATTGCATTTGCAAACCCTCTGGGTGGATTTAGCTGTCACTGCACTCGCGTACTTCCTCACCTTGGCAATGGTGTTTGTCTCCTCCTTATGCAGCCCATGATTGTTGCCAAAGGCCGTCTGTCCCACATTCTGTGCACGAAGGCAACAGAAAAGAGCCTTGAAGATGCTCCGGCCACGAGGCTTCTTCGGAGAGGATTTGGACACCAACACTACAAACAGAAGAATAGTTACAATAAGAACTTGTTACAGGTCTGCAGCTCAGGAGAACATTTCATCCCACCACCACCACCACCCCGAGATAAGCATTTTTGGCAGGCTACCCTCAGGGACTTTGGATGATGACTAATCAAAAATAATCAACTTTTTTTAAAAAAAGAATTCTTTTCCACATTCTCAAATGTACCCTACACAGAGCGGGACAACAACATGGATCCATCAATACGTCTCATCTCTTCTTTGCTTTATTGCTGCCAATAAGTCAATCTTTAGCTTTGGGGAAAGGACTTCATTTTGTCAGAGGCTATGAAAATAATGAAGAGGCTGAATCTTGCCTCCATTTCTCACAATGTTCAGGAGAAACCAGCAGGTGGCACTATAGATCCACAAATATTGACCAATACATGCATGCTCTTCCATCATTGACACTTATGGGAAGACTGGGAAAACTTATGAAGTAGGTTACAGGTAAGTCCTTGACTTACAATTGGTCGTTTAGTGACCATTTAAAGTTACAATGGACTTCCCCAGAGCTACTTACAACCCGGTTCCAAAGTTCAGTTCATTTCTGATTTCCAGCAAAAAAAAAAGACCCATTGGGTTCAGTTAACGACTAGCGTAAAAAAGGATTGTAAAATCGGGCATGGTGACATGGAGACTCACTTAACAAACACAATTTATGACCATAATACTGATTTCAATTATGGCTACAACTCAAGGACTACCTTCACACAAATACAGTTGGATGGAAGTATCTAGAGATAAAAAAGGGGGGAGGACTACACTAATCTGACCCGTGGCCGTTGTGTCTCTGCAGACAGAAGATATCCAGAAAGGATTACTAAACATGGGCTGAAATGAGGCTTTGCATGCTAGGAAATGGGACAATTTCATAGGGAGCCAATGAGGAGCACGGAAACTCAGAGGCCATTGGACCAATTAGATACTTCCGTGCAGGACTGTAGGTTGCACTCTACAAGCTACATAAGCTTTCATGAGTTCATCCAGTAGGACTGGATATGAAGAGCTAAGGCATGATTATCCTGAAGTGTCCCCGTCCCCCAATCATATTTAGTTACAATGCATTAGTCATATAAACTCATTCTTTATACTGGATTTATCCAGGAAAGCGACCAACATGCTGGACTTTTGAGCAAGATCCTGGAATGATTTATCCCAATGAATAGGAAAAAGCAGCTCATTTCTGGACAGTGTTACGTTTAGCAAGTGTTTGTTTTTACATGCGTTCTCTCACTTTTTTGTTTTTAATCTGTGCTTTACCCAAATAATTAGGAAAAACATCTAAACTTACAGTCTTGAGTGCATCTTCTCATAGCATATGGTTCTCTCTCTCTCTCTCTGTATATGTATGTATGTATGTATGTATGTGTGTGTGTGTGTATGTGTGTGTGTGTGTGTGTATATATATATATATATATATATATATTCTAGAAGTAAGCACACTACTATAGCTGCAGAATTAGTGTTATACTTGATTTGCAAACTTCAGAGAGGTCTGCAAGAAGACTAACAATGTTCACACTGCACATTAGCCTGGAAGATGCAGCTCGGCTCATCTTCCATTGGAATTCAAAAACTTAACCCCGTTTATCTGCATTCCAGTACAATAGATAAAAAGTGTTCTGCAAGACCTCTATTGCAACAAAAAGAGTTGATCCAGGTTTTCTGAATGTAACAGCACTGCGATTTCAAAAAACTGCACTATGAACCATCAAATCCAAACTGTAAGTGAGACTCATGCGGGAATGTAACCTCCATCTGTATGAAAGCAACAGAGAATGAAGTGGTCCAATGGATAGTCCAAAATTCAGCAGCTCCAACACCTTTTAAAATGATCGGGCCAGTTTTGACTATTCTGCCACATTACTAAAGCCC